GCCGTCTTCGTTTCTAATACTTCTTGGGATCTTAATCTAAAAAATCGTATCCAGCTTTCTAAAATACTGACACCCGCTGCACTGAGGAGTTGGTCTCAACCCATTTTGGATTTACATAATAGTTGCAACAGTTACCTTGCCGGAAGTTACACAGGGGCTACCAGGCCTAGCAAGTCGAATCAAGAACTGACGCTAGACGATATAACTCTTCTTGTCATTGGCTTATCCAGTAACTATTTGGAACGTAAAAACATTCCTTGTCGTGGCCCTTTTCACGCCCAAAGCTTTCTGGCAACTGGGATTAAATTGAGGCGGTTGGACCAGGTTTGTACTCCTGCAAGATGGACTCTGCAAGTTCCGGTGAATTAGACGACCACTTTCTACTCTTTTCTCAGTTTAAAACCACCCCGTCCCAACAGTTTCTTTATTTTCTTCGCAAAACGTAAGGCTTCGTCATATGCTGTGAACGACGCAAGATAGTCATCAACGTAGAATTCTTCGTCTATGGCTTTTAGCACCGCACGCCCACAATCAATACCTAATTCTCGTTCAGCCTTATTCAAGACAAAATTAGCACAAAACGGTGAAGTGAAGAACGGGTGAGCTGTCATTTGATATTCCTCGAGATCCGTGAATGGATCACCCTGTGGCCACCAGAGAAACCTCAAACAGCCTGTTAATTTTTGGTAAGTTCACTTGCATAAAGATCTCTTCTATGACACGTTCTTTACGGAATAGTAAAAGTATACCCACTAAATTCACGGTGGTGTCTGGACCTTGATCAAGCATGTCATTCAACAACTGCCCCTTGTGTTTAATCGCGCAATCCAGAAATATACGCATACATACTGCATGATGTGGCAGCTACCGACGCGGATAAAAGTCGCAATGTAACTGTCCTTCTGGGACTGGCACGGCATATCCCTTCTCTATAGTCATCTTCATCGTTTGTGCGTAACGGAACCGTAGCGACTAGTCATTAATTAGGCGCCGCTTTAGGCTGTTTAACCTCGAGAGCGCTGGCACATAGTTTCCCATACTGGTATTGACACCCTTCTTCCATGGCAGAGGGACCACGAAGTGCCCATCAACGAACATTGTACTCGACTGTACAATAGCGATCAACTTCGTTTCGTCCACGGAAATGCCTTGATCTAATAAATGGGCGTCTGCAAATTTTGCATTGTACTCTCGCATTACCTGATGCGTCGAACAAGACCAATAAACCTGAAATTCGATGATTCTGTTTTTAGGAGCGGTGAATTACAAGTCAAGCACCCATGTAATTGGGGTTCAGTTAGATCATGAGTATAGTGGCCTAATTTTAATTGGCACAATGGAGTCACTGAAAAACAAAGACGGTGCATTCATGCAGACCGAGTGAGGACAGCGCACAGAATTTTTGTTCGCGTTTGACAAAAGATGTGCTCTGATGGTGGTTCTGGAACCGAGAACGATGGGGTAAGACATAAGAAAACGTCTACTGAACGAATATAAATTTATTTGATTACCAATGTCCGGAATAAAGCGTGTACCTAAATGAGTCCATGATAACCACCAAAAACCAGCTGCAATAAGGAAAAACATGGAAAGCGAAATAAAAAAGTGATATGTATAGTTCGCAAGTCGATTGGATTTTTCTGAGCGTAATCACAGTCCAGAAGGAGCAGGATGGATATTGATTAACTTATCTACCAGTCCACGCAGTTCACCAAAAGTGGCACGGCGCGACTCCGGTTGGCTCACACAGCGATTAAGAAGCTGTGTCACTGTGCTCGGTAGATCTTGAAGAAAGTTCGCACATGACTGATCACCTGTTTTGGTCGAAGGACCGTAGAGAAGTGAGGCACAGATGACCCATACGTTGTGATCAGAACGCACGTGGCCACACAACTGGTCCGCGTGCTGGCGACTCACACAAGCCGGCGTCGAACCGCCGGCATCACCTTGACTCTTGACATTTCCTAAGCACCCATGGTCGAACAAGCCATGGAGCACGTGTGAATTGGCTTCTTTAGGTACCACAAATTCGGTGCTGTTTGCTTCCGACAGACCGAGGTTCATGAGCTATCAGAAAAAGAAACAGACGGGAAGCGAAACGGATTGTATTGTATTTGTAACTTTTGTAAGCATATATGCTTACATTTCATTTAAAAATGTACATTGTTCGTCGCGCAGAATGAAATAAAAATAATCAAAACAAAAGGTCAACAAGGTCGGTGATATACGTATCATGTACAAAGCATTTGACGTAGTTCATTTGAGA